TTCAATAACGATCAAAAATTTATCACTAATAAAGAAGGTCATATTGCTTCCAGTAGTGGTCAGGTTTCCGCACTAAATATTTGTGACGTCACACATGCTGTTACTGGCAGCTTGTCTACCATTCTTTTTATAAACTTTATATTTTTTATATCTATTTTATATACGTCACTTTTGACTAATTAACAATATTGTTTTGAATTCGTCTATCCTGTAATCTCATAAAAATTGTTTAATATAAGATTTGAATTGCTCTCTGTCAGATTTGGGAAGAATACTCAGTTTTACTAGTATTTGGTTTTTATTAAAATAGTAGTAGTTCTAAAACTGTCGCTTCCAGTAACACATGCAAATGGTAGCGGAATTAAAAAAAAATCTACAAATACATGGCTCTCTTTAAATATATATTATAATACCATATGACATAATAATATTATAAACGCGACATTTGTAAGTATGGATGTTTGTTACTCTTTCACGCAGAAACTAGTGAAAGAATTTTATTGAAACTTTACAGTAATATATATCAGAATAACATATAGGCTATAAAAAGATGTTATGTAAATTGAGCTAACTATAATGATAAATGTCAAGTAAGTGTAATGCATATGAAGTTGCACGGGTCGGCTAGTATATTATAACATCTCTTCCCATACTCCCTCTTTCTACACTAAATCTTTCTCTGTGCACGCCGTATGACTGTGGGTCTCACAATGTGGATACAAAATCCGTATTTTAATTTCTTTACAGGCAGTCCACAGAAGAGATTAAAATTAAATATGCAAGGAAACAAAAATGATACTGTATACCTAAATTAGTATAAAATTTGTTTTTCTTTTTATTACACGCAAAGTTACATCTTAAATTATTCATAAATGACATATAATTTAAAATATTTTTCTTTTATGAACCTGGAAATTATTAACCTCCCATTATTTATCGTTTAGTCATAAAATAAATAAATGGTGATATTGTATTCACAGTTTTTCTTAGATGTCCATATAACACAGGAAACATGTACACATTTAGTTTGACAGAATTATGTCATAACAGAACCGAGGCGTGATGGTCACATTGAAGGTTGAACGGATTACGCTACTTTTTTGTGATCAATACGAAAAAAAAATAGACCTACATGAATAAAGATATTTTCTATATATTTATTGCTTGCTCCTTTAAAAAAATATACAAAATAAAACAGAATATATATAGCATGAAGGTACAAAAGGCGGTCTTATCGCTCAAGCTATCTCTTCCAGATAATCTTTGGGTTTAAAAAAAACATTAATTAAAAATAAAAAAACAATATTTTAAAAATGGAATTCTCTCTCTTTACTTATTAGACATTTAGAGCCAATGCGAATAATAAAATAAAGCGGTTTATCAAACAAAAGAGAGCACCAAAAACACATCTAACTTATATGATGGCTGTACAGAACATTAAAACATTTTAAAAATAATAATAAAAAAGAAAATAATTATAATAAATATCGGTATACATATATACGGAATGTATCAAATTTTAATATTATATATGAATATTAATATTTAATGCGTTTAAAAATCGTTTTATTCTGATGTTCCAGACTATTAAGACGAAAATGTCTATTAAATCATATTTATTGAGCAAAGCAAGAAGAAAAGAAAAATCTATTACTATTACATAGTAATGTTGTAATATGTTTTCTCTGCCTGCTGTACTCACTATTTCATTCACAGAGCATTAGGTATGTAATATATTTTATTTGTAGGAATATATAATATATACAAATTATTTGTGTGTGTATTATAAAAAATAATTCATTAACAATATCAGCACAGCCAACAACCTATCTCTACACCACTCATGGTTGACTGGTACACAATTCCGCAAATTATTAAATCCGTTATATATAACTTTACTTCTGTATTAAGTGTATTAAAATTGTATAAAAAAAATTAAACCCACTGTCTTTCGTCGGAACTTGCTTCGTATACGTATCCATCAGGGTTCCATAGTGCCCTTATAATTAATAATCTTATAACAACCTTTATTGTGACATTACAGAATGCAAATCTTAGTAATATTATAAATACGAAAGTTTGTGAGTACGGATGGATGTTCGTTACTCTTTAACGCAAAAACTACTGAACAGATTTTGATGAAACTTTACAGTAACATAGCTTATACATCAAAATAATACATAGGCTATAATTAAAGAAATATTATGTAAATTAGGCAATATATAATGATAAGTGTGATGCAGACGAAGAAGCTCGGGTCCGCTGGTCAATTTTTTTTATTTAATTTGATCAGATTCACGAGTAAGTAGTACAGTATTCACACAAAGTAGTCATGACCCAACACCAATAGTTAGTTTAATTTTACCACGGATTTGGAAGGTCACGCCCTAACCAGACAGTCGGCATTATAATGCTAATAAAGATTATCTTTCCCACACAATACGTGTGCGCCGGTATGTAAAAATATGAGGTTGTTGTATTAACTTGTTGTTTTTGACACTACAGCGTAACTAAATCGGAAAATTATGTACAAAATATATACATTCTGTGATGATAATACTTTCACATCATATTTATTATATATCTATATTATGTAATTAGAAAAACAGACAAGCTGACAGGTCCCTACAAAGGTTCTCCCTGTTTTTTTATTGGGGAGTTTGGGCTATTGTCAGATGCTAAGACCTGTAACACTGCGACCTGTATAGATCTATTGTGCTCGCCCTTATTCAGAGTTAGCTACTTAGACCCTTGAAGGATATTCTTAGGAGTGATGGTTTTTATCTCCTCAGGATATAGTGTATACTTTCCAAAGGAGATATTTCGTTTATGCATGAGTGGGCTACAACCACATAGGATGTGTAGTGGCGTTTCCTCTTCTGATGTGCAAAAGGTTCTCCCTAGATACCATCATGTTAATGAAATATCTCCTCTGGAAAGTATACACTCTATCCTGAGGATATAAAACACATCGCTCCTAAGAATATCCTGAAATTTTTGTGCCTGATGGATCTAGGTAGTAAAGTTTGGAAACGGACAAGCATGTGCACGTCGCAAAGTTACTGATCTTAACACATGACAATAGTCGAAAACCCTCATTAAAATAATAATAATAAAGATAAAAAGAAGAGTGCCATAATTTCATGCTTTTCCTGACATTGCCGACTAATGCCCCGCGAGCGTATACCGTTAGCACAGATGGGTGCACCATTCCATTATCTACAATAGAAATCAACAACCCACACAGTACCATCTAAGCAGAGCGTATGTTGTAGATAGTATTTTTTCATGTAATATCAATGACAAACAAGCTGACCGTCCACCTGATGGCAAGTGGTAACCGTCGCCTAATTAACAGCATGTACATCACGTTATTATGTGACTTCAAAATACCATGCGAAAATTACGCGTTTCCATGCCGTAGGCCTAAGATATCGCCTTACTACCATATCTTACCCTTCTACCGAATTACATTTTCAGCAAGCTGCTTAACGCCTAAAATAGGCGAGACAGTTTGTACACGGAGATGACTTCGTAAGAAATTCACATAACTGTGATTTTGGGTATATATTAGCATATTTCTCATGACTGGAAGAAAATACCTCATGGTGTTAAGTCCGCCATACGCATCTATATTTGTATATTTGTGCATCAAAGATTTAGTAAATAAATAAATATTTATGAAGTCTAAGATATATTCATTGATTTCACATTTCGTACACAAAAATGCGTATTACATTTATGTATATATATTACATGATTTAAAGGGTGAGTGTCTAACAGCGAAATTACCTGAGAGGAACTACGGACTATATATATTACGACGTCTGTAGCGCCTGCTGCAAATTTCTATCAATTAGGCCAAACACTTCAACATCAATCAATTTCTTCATATGCTATTCTAAACCCCTCCGATCGATGCCCCGTCTAATTCAAACGAGGATCGAAATTACGACGGCCTGTGCTTAGGTTCGAACCTCTAGCGGTGCCGTCGAACTAAAGTCATATCCATCAGGTAGGAGTTAGCCTTCAGCCGCTTCATAAATCCTTCCGCGTGTTTGGACTGCCATTTGCACTCGCCCCCTATCGTCACGTGAAGCTGTAAAGATCAGCTGCGGCCAATAGCATTAGAGTAGTCCGGTAAAAAGAAGGTACTCTGATCTTATATGTATAATCGTATGCCAGAGAGGAAATATATTTATCGCGCGGTGAATCCGACGAAAGAAGTTCGTCTCTCTTTTACAAAAGTAATTACAATAGTTGTAACATCTGGTTGCCCAACGAAGTAAGCTTAACATTGTAGTAATCAATTTGTTTACCTCCCATTGGGAAGGTTACGTTGAAATCGTAGAGACAATACATAATTAAATTACATTTATTGTCATTAATTACATTTGCTACGGAAGTTGTCCAACTTGTAATTTAATACTTTATTCCTTAATCAGACATTTATTTTTTATTTTTAAGGTGTATTTAGTTTTGCAATTATTAGAATTAAATTGTGTGCATTTGTTTTTAAACAATTGCCTAAATTCAGAGACGTAGTTCTACGTGTCAGTAAGTGCAATAACTGACAAATGCAAAATTGAAATAGTCGTTAGGTTTTCTGAATTAATCCAGCTTTTTTTTAATTTTCCTACCTTTTACTAAGTATTATAAAATAAAGATTAACGAAATCGTTTAAGTCGTTCTCAAGTTTAGACTTCCGTACTACTATCCGCCTCTAGTTCGCAAGGGTAGACATGCATATGAACCTTCCTCTTGAATCACTCTATCGACTGCTAAAAACTGCATTAAATCTGATGCTTTGTTTAAAAGATCTAATCGAACAGACAGAAAAAGTGACTTCATTTTATATTAAATAAATTGAATTGATTCGTAAGAAGTATGTGTAAATATGTATTGAATATATTTGTATAATGTATTCGTATGTTCTGTTAAGAAATTTGTAAAAATCAATTGTAAATGAATGTAAATGATAAATAAATAAATAGACTAACCTTTGTAAGAAACTCGGCCTCGTCCCGGATATCCTCGTTCGCCATAATCTCCAATCGCCACCGGTCTCGAAGTAACCACATCACCGCCAGGTCTCACTATATAACTTGGAACATTCATTGGTTTATCCAGTTCGTACTCATAAACCGGTTTTATATCCGGCCGAGTATAACCTGTGTCATTTGGTCTATTTCCAGTCGGTCTTTTTTGACCTGTATTCTTATATCCACCGTCTGATCCAGTGTCGAATACAGAACCGTCATATGAGGGGTCAGGACGGTCATCCCCATAAGAAGGACGGTCACCAAAGGACGGTCGATTACCATAAGACGGACTATCACTGTAAGAAGGCTTATTACTATAAGTTGGACGTTTATTATCATTTGGTTTATTATCGGCGTATGTTGGTCGATTATCATTATTACCATATGAAGGCCGGTTATCATTATTATTACCACCATAAGGAGGTTTATTATTATTATTACCACCATATGACGGCTGGTCATTATCACTATATGATGGACGTTTATTATCATTATAAGACGGTGTATTATCACCATACGATGGGCGATTATCATTATTACCATAAGTAGGTTTCTCATCATTATAAGATGGTTTATTACCATACGATGGTTGATCATTAACGCCATATGATGGACGGTTGTTATCATTAAACGGCTTATTATCGCCATATGAAGGTTGATTGTCACTATATGGTGGTCGAGGATCATTATAAGATGGTCGTTTATTATCATTATAGGGTTTATTACCTCCATATGAAGGCGGAGGTTTATCATTATATGTAGGCCGGTTTTCACCATATGTAGGTCTATCATTATAAGATGGTTTGTTATCATTGTAAGGTTTATCACCATATGAAGGCCTATTATCGTATGGCTTATCGTCAGTATACGATGGTTTAATACCATAACTTCCTTGACTACTGCCATACGAATTAAAACTACTGTAATGTCCCTGACTGCCACTGTAAGATTGACTACTTGTATAAGAACCTTGATTAATATTGTAAGGTTTATCATCATGTTCAGGTTTCTGTTGACCATAACTTGGCTTTTTTGTTGTCAAAGCATAACCTGGTTTACTGCCATAACTATTCTGGTCGTTATAAGGTGGCGAATTACTAGTACCATGTGATTCACCAGTATTACCATATGCTTGATTACTATTGTAATCATTATGACTGCTACCTTGATTTCCATATCCCTGGTTACTACCATATGGTTTTTCAGGATCATTTGGTTTTGATGGTACTCCATAACCTGCTGAAGGTGTTACATAATCTGATACAGCAACACCATAACTAGGTTTGTCGTATTGAGGTTTCTGTGGTTTATAACCAGTGTCTTGAGATGGTCGAATATAATTATTGCCATTGTCAATCTCTGTAATAGTACCTTGTCCGTAATGCGATTGGCTATGTGATTGTGAATATGAACTTTGGCTATGACTGCTACCATAACCGTAACCTTGGACTCCATATCCAAAGTCCTGGCCATAACTGCCTGGACCATAGTCATTTTCTGGTTTAGTTGGTTTATAAGGCTTATATGGTCTAGGTGGATCATAAATTTCTAAATATATAGAATTGTCATTATTATTCTGCCCATAGTTACTTGCATACTGACTATTGTAAGAATAACTAGGCCTATCATATGGTCGGAACGGATAGTCATAATGCGGTCGGCTTGGTCTAGGTGGCCGCTCTGGAGGGCCTATTGGACCAGATGGATGGCCAATATCGTTTTGACCATATGTATCAGGTTTAGTTGGATAATCCTGTGGTTTTGATGGTTTATAACCATATCCGTTATCATCTTGAGGTCTTGGTTTTCTATTCGGTCGAATTATGTAATGATATTCAGGTTTCTCTGGCCGGTATGGTGGAAGTCCATCAGGAATATCATAAGGTCTGTTAGGTCCTATTGGTCTTTGCCCATAGAGATCTGGTATGTCGTCTCCAAGATGTGGTGGGTAAACAGGATCTGGTCTCCAATGACCAGGATCATGAGGTCTACCAGGTCTCCCAGGTCGATAAGGATCTTGAAATTGCAAAACGTCATACGCGTCAGGTTTCTGCTGGGGCTGACTTTGATAAGGTTTCTCAGGTTTATATGGAATATCTTGGGGTTTATGAGCACCGTAGCTTGGAGGTCTATCATTATCTGGTTTAGAATTACTGTAATCATCAGGTCTGTCATTGCTTACTTGAGAATAACCTGGTTTGTAATTTAAAAATGGTGGTCTAGCTGTTTCGTAAGGTCTCAAGTTATCCAGAGGAATGTCATCTGATAGTGGTCTTTTAAAGTCATCTTCGTCTGGCCGGAAAACAGGTCGATGTGCCGGCCCTCCCCCAGGGCCATTACCAGGGTCATCAAATTGTCCCTGAATAGGACTAGGAGGTGACTGTTCACACTGAATTCTTCGTACATAAACATCATAGTCTGGATGACGTAGAAGCAGATTCTGCTCTTTTAACTCTTTTTCACTCTTGTCACTTAAATTGCATGTTGCATTGCCTTTAGCGCCCACTCTGAAAAAATGAAACAGATCTTTTAAAAAAATAACCTTTTTTTTCTATTATATAAAAATCTACCAAGGAATGCATTCTAGAGGGATAAAATCTAGTAGGTAGAGTCTAATTGTTATTAATTAAATTGTTAACAATTAAGATCCGTTCAGGCATTTCGTGACGGCCAAAAATTTGATATAGATTTACATTTATGTATATTATGTATAGGGACTTAACCATAGAATAATCCGAACATCTTGAAGTTGATATTAACCTAGGATTTCTAATAAATTTCAATGGTAGAATTTCTTAGAAATAATAATTAACAAAATTAACTCAAATAAAATAAATAGAAAGTAACTACTTAATAAGTAAATAAATCTTTATTTAAATCATAGTACTTGTAGAGACATCTATGATCTAAATAGAAAACGTTATCAATTATTATAACGGCATCTATATATTCCAATAATAGAACTCACCCGTAATCATACGCCTGGCATTGCTTATCCTGTTTGCAGATTTGTTCGCACTCGCGCGTTGTTAGTTCCGACACATTGCGATAGATGGCGTTAATTGGTAATTGTTCACCAATGGAAATTCTTTCAAAACAATCTGTAACAATTATAGTATTTAATTAAAAGAAAAAATTTAACATTATACGTTGTTTGGTTTCATAAAATACCTCTTATACGTGTGTATTATATCATAGACCTTATTAACTATCTTTACTAAACCAAAACTGATTAATAATAACCCAGGACAATTTACACAGTATCATCTAGTCCTAAGCTAAACAGAGCTTGTGTTATGAGTACTAGACAACTAATAGATATACGTGACTTTGTACAAAGTGAAATTGCAAAATGTTATCACATGAAACATTTTTTGTTGTAATGTAACCAAAAAATTATTTGTTATAAAAAAAGAAATAAAGAATCTTCTTTTCTATCTGTCAGCACAGTTTATTATTTATTATTAGTTATATTAATTTTAAATACATTAAAAATAGATAACAGGTCGAAACAAAAACACAGGAAATGACCATTTAAATCGCCTTACAACATTTCTATACATTTTTATGTCATTAATATAAGTTATACAATATTATACATATGTTTTTAATAAAAATAACAATATAGCAAACACCTTAGATTTTTATTAATTAAAAATCAACTCTAAACATTGGGTCACGGAAATCATCAATGATAAATGTATTAAAAATTCCAAATTACATCCAAAAACCTTGCATAATAAATTAACGAGAGTTTCATTGACAGTAATTTTGTAATTTCGCCGCATTATCGAGTGATTTGGACGCAACATCGAGTTTCACAACATCCCGTATGTGAACTGACATGTGTTTAGGGACAATTGTTTCTTGTAACAATATATACCTATATCTATTTATATATTAACTACATATATGTAGTATCGGCAACAGCGAAGCCTGACCCCTAAACGAAATAATCGCTAAACGCTTCATTTATTTCATCATTCGAATAAGACTTTTTCTGTTGAAACCATTATAACTTATAACTTTCGCTACTAGGCCTGTGCACAACAAAAATCTACAGATTTTGCCAAACTGAGGAGGAAACGCCACTACACATCCTATATGGTTGTAGCCCACTCATGCATAAACGAAATATCTCCTTTTGAAAGATGTTTTTTTTTTATAAATACATACATAATATACATAGAAAAAACTCCAGACCGATACAAATCATATTCATAGATACAAGTGTTTGTGCGAGTAATCGAACCCACGATCAGCGGAAGTAAAGCAGTGAGCTAAGCCGCTAGACCACCGTCAAAAAGTATAAAACACAAATCAAAATATTTCCTATCTGTTTTTAATATGTCACGTGATAACGTGATCATGACATCAATAAGGGGCGGATCTACTTAAGGGCTTTTTGGTACATAGGGCCACCAGTACCCACTGAAACGATATTTAGAATATAAAGAAATATCTAGAATGTTAAAAAACCTATCATAAGGTTGGCAGCTCTGAGATCAAGCAACCCATGCAAGAGCGTCTATTGAAAGGAACGGAGAACTTCTGGTCGCTTGTTTTTGGTCGGTGTATTTTTTTAGTTGAGTAATATAATTAGGTGGGTCCCTAAGTAGATTCAGCCCAGGGCCCCATATATTCACGATCCGCCCCTGACATCAATAGTTGAAGTCCTATACATATATGAATAGAATAGAATAGAAATAGAAATAATCTTTATTCAAATAAACTCATTACAAGTAGGTACTTTTGAATAGTCATATTTTGATTCTACCACTCATTCGGAATGCAGATTCATCACAAGAAGAATGAGCAAGAAACTTGTGTGTTGGTCTTTTTAATAGATGTTTTTTTTATATAAATAATTACAGTATAACAAGTAAGAGGCATGCGATAATCAACATAGAAGTCGCTACGCACTCATTATTAATGTAATTAGATAATATTGTCAGCGCTATAGATTTAAAGTTTTTATATAAAAACATTATTATCGTTAACGAATTCTTAAATTTTATAGTAAGCTTTTTTGCAAAGGAACTGTTTTATTTGACATTTAAATCTTTTTTCTGTGCAGATTTATAACAGGCTCTGCTATTTTATTGTAAAACCTTACGCAATTGCCATAAAACGAATTACTAACTTTAGCCAAACGACATTTAGGTAAAATCAGTTTGTTATTGTTACGTAAGCTTTTATTAGTGCAATCACTAACTCTTTTGAAACTGTCTATATTCCTTCTGGCATAGATGATATTTTCATAAATGTATTGAGAAGAATGTATGCTTTGTCATTCCGGAAGACAAAACTATACCTCTTATTAATCTCTGTAATTTCACTATTTACTAGATATTATTATTATTCCCAGCATGTGGGTAAAGACAGAAATAGCCAGATGTCTTTCTACAAAATCGATTTCCTGCCAGACTCTATTATTGTTCCATTTTTATAACCACAATAGTTTATCAACGAAATACTAGTCTGTGCAAGTCCAAAAGTGGACGAGGGAGGGATTATTAGTAATGGCAACTATTGGTCTCAGGCACACTCCACGTGTTAATTCTTGAAAACCATTGCGATTACTTCCTGGTCAATTTAGCGCGATATGCTAACTGACCTGACTTCATACTCATTCTTTACTCGTATGCACCATTCCATTAAAAAATATGCTTACCTTCAACAGAAGTGCCCAACTGCGAGTCAATTGTCAACGTTTGGACTGCGACCAGCAACACCGGACACAAAATTAGTGTACACAACATATTTACTATAAAATCAACTAACATGCTTTGAAGTATTCATTTATCTCCATTTTTAATCAATTAAATCCTATTTTGATCCTTTCATAGGCAAATCATATCTTAAATTAAATTTATATCCGTCCGGTAAATATAATTTATTTTTAGCAATATTTTTTATATAAAAAAAAAACAATACCACAAAACACTAACTGTTGGCTGTACAAGTAGTTACCTTTGTCTACATTACATTACGTACTTTAAAAAAAGGACATACTAGAAATAACTCTATTTAAAACGAAACCAGTTCGAAATTCGAATTTCAAACGCGCGCCATTTTCCCACGCTAAATCCGCGCCAAAGACAATGGACTTTTTTTTAAAAGGCCAAGACGTCTACACAGTTTTGGATTTGCAAATATTGTGGCGCAAAGTCTAAATCTTTGCTGGGTGTGCCTGCGTTTCGGTCCGATGATCAGAGCACGCTTCCTTGGCGTCTCATGTGAACCTTACAGTTGGTTAATCAAATGGACAGGTACTCTAAACCAATTAGAGTGGTATCAGCGTACCTACTTAATTCTATGATTTTCTATTATTTGTTATAATTAGACAGTACATGTTGAATTTGAATGGAATACGATGGGTTCTTTGCCCGTTGGTCTGTTGATATTACAAACAATGTAATATTGTCTTATTTCAGTGGTCTTGCGGTTTAACACACTGTCTTTCTACAGATGGTTACGGGTTCGTTTCCTCGCACGACACAAAATGTTGTATCATTACATAGTACAAAATAAAGTCGCTGTCGCTGTCTGTTCGTCCCTATGTATGCTTAAATCTTTAAAATTACACAACGGATTTTGAAGCGGCTTTTTTAATAGCTAGAGTGATTCAAGAGGAAGGATATATAATACATGTACACCCGTGTGAAGCCGGGGCGAGGAAACTAGCTGTTTCACTATAAATATAAAATTTTTGGTATCGTGCGAGGAATATTGTTATTTGAGTCTGGGTGTTATATTTGTATATTATGTTTACAAAAAATTTATTTAAGATGATCTAAGCTAATCTTATGTTGTCTAGTAAAAACAACACAAGCTTAGCTTGGGACTAGATGGCATTGTGAGAATAGTGCAGGGTTTTTTTATAAATTATAATGGAACATTGCACCTGCTGCACTAACGGTATATGCTGGCGGGGCAGCAGTGGAGGATGATAACATGAGCATGAGCAAATAGCAATTTACCACAGTGGTTTCCAGGAGGACCTGTTATTATTCCACATTACCAACAACCCCCTTCCCACCAATAATAGTCCAGGGTTATAGATATATCATCCTTCACTATTGACCCGCCAGCATACACGGTTAGCGTAGGCAGTGTAATATTATTCAATATTCTTAAAAGAAAACAAGTACTCTCTCTTTGACAAGTCGGTTGAAAATATAAGCATTCTGCCCACAGCCAGGTAGCATCGTCCATAAATATAGAGGTTTGTCTTTGATACGTTTTATAAAGTCGATTTTTTTTTCTATTTCCGCTACGATTGCTTTCGTGGTTAGTAATTATGAGGCCAACGATATTTGGTGATAAACGCGAACACTATGAAGTTAGGTAAATACATATACTTAAACTTTAAATATATTTTTTTTTAATCTTTTAATATCCCTAATATATGGTCGAGAGCAGTGATGGCTGGCTCATACTTCATACTTTTGAATGAGTGCTGTTTGTACGGACTGGTCTGGTCTCTCTGGTCTTATCACTACGACTGATTTAATCTTATTGTGTATTTATATTTGACCCTAATAAATGAGTGCTCGTTGGTTGATGGTTTCGACTGGAAAAATGTAAACTTACAAAGATTATTTAAAAGAGTTCTTCTTGTGATGAGATAGCTTTCCGAATTAGCGGTTGATTAATACAATTATTATGACTATTCAAAAGTGCTTACATTAAGTTTATTTGAATAGAGGATTTTCTATTCTATTCTATTTTAATGCACAAATACAATACACATGGCGAAGTTAATACCTAAGAGCGTTCTCTATCAGTTAACCATAATACTTATTGAGAAGTTAGCGACGCATTATAGTTTAGAAACATTCTTACGTGGTAACTTTACGACATTTACCGCAGGTGGAAACGATACTCAATATAACATTAAAAATTATAATATATAAGGTCTTGAACGCAATGGTAGACTTTTTTTATCGTACAATGGTGGTAAAGACACATACGGGCCATCTGATGGTACACGGTTACTGTACTCTATAATCACCTGAAGCACCAGGGATGATACGTGCGCGTTGCCGTCTCAAGAAGAAACCTTTATACCTTTCTTAAAAACCCCATCTTGTAGTCTCTCGAGAGAACCTCGGCAGGTAGTTCACTCCACAATCTACGTGTACGCGAAGAGAGCGAGAATTTACTCTAAACTTATGTCGCAATGTCGGAGACTAGTTAGGTTGTGGGCATGAATTCCCTCTTGATGGCGAGCGGTGCGATCGTAAAAGGAAGATATTCCGCTTCTAACAAAAACGGTTTTAAAACTATAAAATAGTAATAAAAAACTATAAGGCACAAGAGAAATTAATAATAATAAACGAAGCAAAATCATCCAGGTATCTTGCCCTTCATACGTTAGTATTTTATGTTTAGTTTAATTTACAGAAAATTTTAAGAGAGTATCTTCAAAAAGTTCCTACTTTAGAAAAAAATGTTCGCTGTGTGCTAATAATAATAATAATCTCAGGACAGTCCACACAGCGCCATCTAGACCCAAGTTAAGCTAACTAAAGCTTGTGTTATGGGCACTAGATGACTGATATAAATGCATACATATATTTTTTTCGTAAATACTTACATATTATAAATAGAAAACATCCAGACCGATACAAACAATCATACTCATGAATACAAATGTTTGTGCCACAGATAACATAATGGTTTGTGCCGTGCGAGAAATCGAACTCGCGACCATCGGAAGGAAGGCGGTGCACAGTGGGAACTTTGACTCATTTTCATCTCATAAATCTATAACTTCTGTATTAATAAAGATATATACATGATTTTTTTTCCTGGTAATCTTAAATATATATACTTTTAAATAATGTATGCTTTGGAAGGAAAAAAATATTTTTAATAGTTATAGAAAATGTGAATACAAGAAATATAGAATTTGTAGACTTACATTTATGTCCTAAGAAGTTTATACAGAAGTAAGTAAAAGTATCAGCGTAAAAAACAAAAATTCTAATAAAGATGGCTTACAAGTCACTCTCAAGAGCTCCTTTGATTCATCAAAAAGTACTAAATATTTTTAATTGGAAGGTTTTCTTAAACTTGTTATGTATGGGTCAGAGGTATATAAAAATGCGTGTAGAACATCTTTGTTAGAGGCTACCCTCGAACATTGTCTTGCATGATCAAGCCTGAACTGTTTATAGTCTTTGTTCCATGACTCTTGAGCATCTTCTGAAAGTTGCCCGAGAGGCAAGACAGAAAAGTGACGTGTCACACGTTCACATTTCATTTCATTTTTTTTTTTATTTCAATATAATTGTTGTATATATTCGCAATGACACCTAAAAATATTAGTATATATTTTCAAAACGTCCGCGGCTTACGCACAAAAACTCATACATGCTATAATAATATACTGTCTAATGAGTATGATATAATAGTATTAGTGGAAACATGGCTTCATGACGGAATATTTGACAGTGAATTTTGCGATACTCGCTATAACGTTTTTCGCTGCGATCGGGACCTTAACACCACTGGGAAAAGTACTGGAGGTGGCGTTTTGATATGTGTGCGCCGCGAATTTCGTGCACATTCTGTTACACTGCCGGCCTCGTGTACACCAACAGAATTACTTTGGGTGACCATACCCGCCGAATCATTATTGTGTGGCAATGAGTTTCACATTATCACAGCATATATAAGAGGAGAAGTTAACTGTCAAGAGGTTGATTTGACTAATTTGCTTAAGATATTACAAACGATATGTCCCAGTAATAATACTGATAAAGTTTATAATGATAATTACATAATACTAGGTGACTTTAATCTCCCATTCATTCGTTGGGAGCTGCAGTCCCCTCTTACAATCTGCTAGTACATTCATGACAGTTCGCAATCTCAGCAGACAAATTATTGATATTTTGTCTATAAAGGGTTTTTCACAATATAATCATATAAAAAATATATGTGGTAATATCTTAGATTTAATATTCAGCACTTTCTATATTGAATTAAATTTATGTGAATTACCGCTGTCTAAAGTAGATGTTTTCCACCCTCCCCTATGTCTTGAAGCTACAGATATCTCAATTTCATCATTGCAATGTAATAATACTTACAAATACAATTTTTATAGAGGAGACTATGACAAAATAAATAATTATTTAAAATATATTGATTGGGATTCTGAATTAAATTGCAGAAACATAGATGACGCCGTGGAATTCTTCTATGAATGTCTACACACATGTATAAATTTGTATGTACCTATTACAAAAGTTAAAAGTATGAATAGTTCTTATCCAGCTTGGTACAGTCTTAGTTTAATTAAAATCATTCGTGAGAAAAAAAAAGGCCCACAAAGCCTGGAAAAAATATTCTAATCAACGTGATTACCAAGAATCTTTTAAGAGCACGATATATACAGCTTGTTATAGTAGATTCTTGTTTAACTGTCAAATGTCTATTTCTAGTAATCCTAAAAACTTCAGGTCCTTCGTGAAATCAAAGCGTGGAGGTAGTAATTATCCGGGTATATTCACTTTCAATAACACCTCTTTCTCTGATGGCTCTGATATTGCTAATGGATTTATCACCTTCTTCAAAAGTATGTTTTCCTCTCCTGCACGTGAATATCCTAATACTGTATTTTCCGACCCACAGAATACCGTAATCAGTGATATCTCCAATATCTCCGTTTCTGCTGATGATGTCCAGTCACTCTTACAAAATCTTGACTCTAATACTGGCCCAGGATGTGATGGTATTCCTGCTAAAT